GGTCGAACGACCCTTTCACAGGGGTCACCTAAGACCATCCTGCATATCAGATATTTACATTACGATTCATAACAGTAGCAACATCACAGTTATGAAGTAGCAACGAAAATAATTTTATGGTTGGGTCACAACATGAGGAACTGTATTTAAAGGGCCAGAAGGTTGAGAACCACTGCTATAGAGGCTCAGCACACACTGACTGAACTGAACTGAGCACTTTAGAGAACTAAGAGCTCAAGGATCTGTTAGATGAGGGCATCCGAGGAGAGCGTGCTTGGGCCGTAGAATCGGGAAGCAGCAGGAGACAATACTGCATCAACACTCCTCTCCCAGCTCCTGTAGGCACTAAAGATGAACATCAGACAGCATCGACCCCAAAAGGTACCTGTTTAGGGACCACTGGGAGGAAAGGTGGCAGGTGGGCGGGCAGCATGGAGTCACCTAGGTTGTAAACTGCTTATGCTTGCTGTGTGGCCCTCAGCCACTCTCCTAACCTCTCTGAGCCTCTGTTCCCAAACTCTGTCAATCTACACAGTGTAAGAATCCTAGAGAAGGATCTGTGCCCTCAAGGAACTTGCAGTCTGACTGGTGGAGAAAATCCAGCCCCGACCCCACTCTCCATAGACTGTTCCTGCATAGCTCCCTTCCTTCCCCAGGCCTTCTCTTTAAAATGAGGGGCTTGCCCTTGCTGATGCAGCTCTAAAGAAACCAGCATGCTGCAAGGACTGAGATACCGGTACACACATCCTAGGTCAGCAAAAGGGACAGCCCAGTCCACATGACAGGCAGCTTACAACATGGCTGGCACACAATGGGTGCTTAATAAAGCCCTGGAACTGTTACCCAATAGGCACTAGAATAGGATACAAGCGATAAGACACTGGATCCTGAAGAAGCCTGCACCACCACCATGGAGTCAGGCAGGTCTAGCTTCTAAAGCAGTCCCACTATGCAGCCTCTCATTAAAGGACCCATAACTCAGCACCCAGCACCCAGCCTGGCCTAGCTGCTCCTTGTCTCACAGAGCACAAAGCTCCTTGTGTTCTGCTCATTCTGTTCTTCTAGCCTAGAGCACTGAAGAGCAGAGAACCTGCCTTCTTCCCTCAGCCCTCCTCAGAATGGCCATTCCCACATGGCCCTTCATCCTGTAATTCTTTGAATTACGGCATATTCTGCCTTTAAATTGCTCAGAATGAGGGTTGCCTACCAGCTACTTACACCTTAGTATGAATTTAACTAGCTAATCTTGCTTTTCCTCCCGGAACTAAACTGAAATCAAGGAAATAGGAAAGGGGTGGAGATTTTACAGAGAGGAAGATGGCTGGAGGAGACAGACCTTTAGGGGGAAAGCGCCCCAGGCCCTGAGTTAGGCAAGGAACCCAGAGTGTGAAGGCTCTCGGATTTAAATTTGGAGGTGATGTAGATATGAGATGAGAATATTATGTCAACTATTCAGCAGAGAGCTGAAACAAGACAGTCTCCGGTCTGCCACCCCTGCCCTGCCCACCCCCCGCCGATGAGTTCCTGCCTGCCTGGCTGTGACTGAGCCTCAAAATTCCCACCATTCCTTCTAAAGTGGCCTCAACAACAGGACAGGAAAGTGAAGCGGAGACCTTGGACTGGATAAAAATAGACAGCCCCAACCCAGGCGCTGGATTGTCATTGTGCAAGACAAACAAGGGCAGCTCTGTCGTGGGGCTGCAAACACCCCACTCCGGCAGGACACCCATCCCAAGGCACTGAGAAGGGGCAAGCTCTCAGGACAAAGGGAGACAGAGTGGGCTGGGCAGCTGAGGGGGCGGAGGCAGCGCTCTGGGTGGTCTGCAAGGTTTGCCTGGTGGTGACATTGAAGAGCACAGAGACAGGGCCTCCAGCCAGCTCCTCACCCCCATCCTTGGTACTAAAATTGGGACTGGCTGCCCCCAGGCTCCTCTGATCACCTATATGGCCCCCCAGGGTGTGTCTCCCAGGGATGGGAACCCTTGCTGTAGAATGCTAGGCAGGGCCCTCAGGATGGGAGAGCTGGGCAGTCACTGCTCAGGCTCCCATCCCACATCTAACACACACAAATTTGTGAATTTGGGCAGCTGGCCCAACAATGAGCCTCAGTTTCCTCACCTATAAAATAGGGAGAATTGCATCTGAGTCTCTGGGTTGTGAGAGTCAAAGAGATGAAGAATGACCAGCACTTAGCAAAGTGCGAAGTAGTGAGTGTCAATAAATGTCAACGTTGTCACCAACAGCAGTGTTATCTGTCCTTGAATATCAGACACCTTGTCCCTGGCCCTGGCCCTGGCCCCAGCCCAACACATTCTTCCCCTCACCTTTCTCACCTCGCCTCCCACCCTGCCCCTGGGGCACAACCCTGCATTCCATCTTTGCAGGATGACTCCTGCCTTCACCATCCAGAGACCAGCACAGCTCTGGGCCTTTTCCCAGCCTGAGCCTGTCCTTCAGTGTGACAGCCACCAAGCCCCAAGTCTGTGAGATCCCTGGAGGCAGGGCAGTGCCAGTCCATGAGTCCTCAGACCCTCACAGCACAAGTAAACTGGAAAGCTGAACGGTGAAGTGAAACCTGGAGGGGGGGAGGGGGGACGCATGTGGTCCCTGGAAGGGAACTGGATGACCACAATGGGGAACACCACTGGCTACTGGGACCACTGGAACTCAGACAAAAGCCCACCAGACCCCATTCAATCATTCCCCCATCAGATATCCCAAACTTCCTCCCCAGTTCCGACCCCTTCAGAATTACAAAGCCACTGGATGCCAAATTTTCTCATGAGAACCATAAAGTCCTGGCCCACGGGAGAGAGCAGCAGGGGCCTGCTCAGTGGCCAGGACCAAAAACTGCTCTGGAATAACTAACAGGGACCCCACTGGACCCCAAAGGCAGCCAAACACAATGGCCCAGGGTCTCCAAAGATCCCCCAGCCTCCAAAGGGCGCTCTCTCCTGGGAACCAGATGGGGGAGGGGCCTCAAGCAGGTGCTATGGAGTCTGCTCCTTCCTGCTGAGCCGGCTACACACCCGGCCCACTCCGGGAAGACAGAGATCAAGAGACTATGACTGTCCGGCCGCATTGGTTCAGTGGTGGAGCACTGACCTACGAACCAAGAGATCACGGTTTGATTCCAGGTCAGAACACATGCCAGGGTTGCGGGCCTGATCCCCAGTAGGGGGCCTGCATGAGGGGCCTGCAGGAGGCAGCCGAGTAATATTCTTATTGATGTTTCTATCTCTCTCTCTCCCTCTCTGAAATCAAACAAAAATATATATTTTAAAGAAGAGACTATGACTATGAATACACCGTGAACTGTAAGCCATTTCCACACACTGGAGTTTCCACCATTAATGACAGAGGGTAGGGTTATCCATCCAACCAATGCCAATGTGATCCACTAAATTAAACCCACTCCGAAGATTATCAGGGACACAGACACATGCATTCAGACATACTTTTAATCCTCTTCTTCAGAATTATATGTAGCTTTCATCCCCACAGTCACAGAGGAAAAAAGATGGATTTATCTCTCCCTCCTCCTCTACTCCCTAACATCCAAAATGTTTACTCCTTGTGTTCATCTGGTTAGGTCTTTCAGGAAAAGGCAGTATAACCAAATAGGGCCAAAAGGCAGAGAAGAAAACAAAGTGACCCAATTAGAGGGACCACCAGAAACCAAAAGGCAAGTAAGATCCAGAAGACCCCAGTGCCAGCTGTGCCCTGAGTCTCACGAATGTGACCCTCCACAAGTCACTTCCTGCTCCAGCTTCTAGTTTCTTTATCCTTGAAACTGATGTAGTCTTATGGTCTCCCATGGTTGTGACGGAACAGAGAATGGATGGAGAAGGGTCTGCAAATGGGAAGTGGCCAGGCAGCCAGCTTCATGTAGAGTCATGGGGAGAATGCGGCAAGAATGACAGACAGAACTGTGTGTCACTTCAGTTTATCGGGGTACATTCAGCCCTTGCAGAAAAGTAGGGGGTGGGGGGACAAGGCAGAACAGTGGTTAGGAGCACAGTGACAAGTGGTTCTGCTATTAGGTGCCCCTGGCCAAGTCCCTTTACTGCTATTCTGAGAGGATACAGGTAAAGGGCCCAAGTACCGGCCATGGCCCAAAGTAAACACTTAATAGCTCTGGTCACTGTGGTTGCTATTATGACTTGAGCGTGGGGTAGAGGAAAGACAGCTCAGATGCAGACAGAAGCCCTCAAGCCAAGATCCAGCCATGCAGCTCCAGCCTGGGGGGCTGTCACCTCATGGAGCATAGGGCCAGACCACAAGGCCCAGCTGTCCCAAAGGGTCCCACAGACCTTGGCACCCAAGTCCCTCCCGGCCCTCTACGCCCCCAAGTCACCACCAACCTCTTACTTCTTAAAAGCTTGATTCAGATATTCTTGGAATGTCCCTATGGCCAACTCTTAATTGCAAGGGGTGGGAGCTCCAAACTAGTGTTCTCTCTGCAAAGGAGCCCAGCCTCCGCCGCTCCAGGAAAGACAGGGAAACCACTGGCCTCTGGCAAACTCCCTCCTTACCAGACCCTCCTGAAAGCTTGTTCCACCCACTCCATTTCCCCCCCTTCTGACCCTTCACATAGCTCCTTCCCCAGAGTGGGGACGGAAGGAGAAACCCATGTAGAGAAATGTATACAAACACATCCATTTGCTGCCTCCCAGCAGCTGGGAGAACAGGATCCCTTGCTAAAATGAGAGATGAAGAGCTGTACTGGGCTTTACTCACTTCCACAAGACAAGGTAGAGACAACTGGTTAAAACGTGGATCGACAGACATTTTAGGTTACCATCTTTAGGTCTCATTCTTAACCCCAAGAACACCAGTGATGAAGAGATGGGCAGTCTTCCCATCTAAGGGTTGGGAGGAAAGGGGGAAAGAAAAGGAGTGGGAATATCAAAAGGGCCTCCATCCAGCACCACTCCCACCTGTCCCCCTCTGCAAAGTTCAACGCAACAGTAGCGTGCAAAGAAAAAAAAAATGCCAACCTGAGAATTCACCCGGAGCAGTGATGAGGGAGTTGGTGGCCTCCGTTTCAGTGTAAGACAATGTGGAATCAGATAGATCTACGGGAGGAAAGAGAAAGAAAACTTAGTTGGCTGTGGGGTGTGCCTCCCGTTCCGGCTTTCTCGTGCATCTGTGTGCACGTGTGTGCACGCAAGTGCTTGCAAAGGGCAGGGTGTCCCTCCCAACTGATGCCACTCTGTAACCCTGTCCCATACTTGTACGAGACCAGGCCAGCCAGCCCTGGAATTCTTCTGGAAAATGCCAACTACTGCAGCCCTGGCACCTGAAAAAGTTGCAATTGCTCTGACCACAGAAATAACCCAAGTTCAGGGGACTGAGCAAGTAGCAACTTGGAGCCTCCCTGGGTACGGTTAAATTAAGCCCCTAAACAATTCATAGTTGCTATACTTAATTACAACCATTAAAATTCTTGAAGTTGTTCCTTCTTGCTTCCTTCCTTCCTTCCTTCCTTCCTCCCGCTGGAGCTGGGGAAACTGTTTTAACAAGTTACCAGCCATCCTCCCTCTGTCCCGCTTACACCCCTCTAATTAAGGGCTCAAGCGTTTGCTCCCAGATTAACTTTTTTTTCCTCTCCCCTCCTCCACTCCCTAACATTCCAACCTGCTCACAGAGCGACTTTCAATGCCTGGACCGTTGTTTTTTTTAAGGTGTTCATTTTTGTGTGAGTAGTTTTAAGTACTTCATATGGCGTGCATTATTTGTTTTCCCCTGTCTGCAGTGCCGTTAGATGGGAAAAGGAAAATCTTTTGCATGTTTTTTTTCTTGAACACTGAGCTGCTAGCTTAATAAGCCAATGCCTTTTGGGGCAGGCAGACTTGGAAAATTTTTCCTGGGCCTGTGCCTCCTGCTACCAGCGATAGGGTATTGGTCCCTGTTAAGGGACAGGCCTGTCCAGGAGTGGGAAGAGGCATGTTCTGGGAGGCCTGCAGCACTTTCATCATCTCACTCAGCACAACCCAGGTCTGGTTCAGCTGGTCCCACCTGGATCAAGAGAGGCACCCAAGCTGGGGAGTCCTAAGGCCAAACCGTTAGCCTAGGCCCTCGCTAGCTAGGATTCCATTCGATCCTGCAGGATTTTTTTTTTTTTTTTTCCTTTTACCACATGGCTTGGAGAGCGGGAAGATGAAACATTAACCAATTTGGCCTCTTTTTTTTTTTTTTTTCATTTCCCACTTGCCAGATGCTGACTGGGTGTTCTGGGTTTTATTTTGTTTTTGGAATCATGTGATCACAAAGGCTTAGAAGTGAACTGACTTTTTGTTTATGAAAAAGCAACAATGCAAGGAAAAGAAAATAATACAAAAAATAACTTGGACTATTTATCAGGGCATGAAAAAGTTATCTGCTGGTAAAATGTGTTTGGAGGAAAATAAGGACAGATGGAAAAATCTCTTTAAAAGAAAAAATAACCTCAATGCCTCGGTGGGATCTTCTTAAAAGATTGTTCCTTTTAATACTTAATGTTCCCAAAGTGTGCAGCGCCCCGAGTCTCATTATCACAGGCTGAACCCCATTTCTTAGTGAACCACTGTGGAACTAACACAGACAGCTTTGTCACTCCTGGGAAACAACAAGAGTGACAGCAACAGGCAGTTTCTACCTTTTGCAGCTAGGAAGTCCTCATAAAGCACTCTGCAAACCCTCACATCTGGTGCTTCTAATGAGGCCCTAGAAGTCTAAGTGTCTTCGGGCTGTTGTAGAAAAAGAACACTCCCCATCTCCATCACGGCTCCAGCCCCAAGGACAGACCCCGGCTAGAAGTCGGAACCCCCAGATTCAAGTCACACCTCCATTCTTAGCAAAATCAGGGGTCACCAACTTTTTCTACAAAGGGCCCAATAGTCTGTGTTTTCAGACCTGCAAGCCATACAACCTCTGCTGCAACTCTTCACCTCTGCCACTGCAGTGTGGAAGCAGCCGCGGACAATGTGGAAACGGGTGAGTGTGGCTGTGTTCCAGAAGAACTTTATTACAAACACTGAAACTGGAATTTCATACAATTTTCACATGTCATGAAATGTTATTCTTCTTTTGATTTTTTTAACCATCTAAGAAAGTAAAAACCATTCTGAGCTCGCAAGCCATACAAAAACAGATGGTGAGCTGTCGTTTGCAGACCCCTGAGCTATATGACCACCAGCAAGTGTCACTTCCTCTCTCTAGGCCTCAGTTGTCCCATTCGTAAAATAACCAGGACACCTGTTGACTTCCAAATGGTCACTCTGCAGGGCGAAGTGGTCTCCAGTTTTTGGTGCTTCATCACAGGCTAACCCACAATTCCTCAGGGCAATGATCCTTGACATTCAAACTGAGTTTACTACTTTACTGAGAACATTTGAGGGTGTGTTTTTTTTCTAATGAAACTAGGGACCCTCTAAGCGACTAGTGCAATGATGTTAACTTAGGAAATGCTGAGACAAGCCTGTGAGGGAAGGATGGGGAACTGGAGAGCTAAAAAGGGGGCAGCCCTGGGTTGATGCTCATTAGCTGGGGGGGCCCTCCCTCCCTATCCTTCAGTTTATTTCCCCGTCTATGAAGTGACAGAGTCCAACCAGATGACCTTTCCAGTTCCCCTGAAAACTAAATAAAGCTCCTCCATCCATGGGATGACCGTACGTCAAGAAAAACGAGGAACTTGCTATTGTTAAGCCTCTGACTCACACACCATCATGGGACACCCTTGGTCTCCTGGACAGAGGAGGTCAAACTCCTGGAGGGACCTGGTGGGCACTTGTGACTCCACAGGAGGGCCTGGAAGGAAAACGGGGCTGGATGCCTGAGAGCCGACGACACTTAGATGGGACCTCCCAGATAATGCTGACACACGCTATTGAGAAGAGCCTTTACCAAAAAAACACAAAAAAACAAAACACACTTTTTGTGGTCACTTGTTGGAATGTGTTAGCATCACTGCCACGCCATCTAACTTTTAAAGCCTAGCTAAGTCCCATGGGAAACTGTCTGGGTCACAAAGCTGTTCTCCTGGTACTGTTAAGGCCAAACTCACTCACCGCACCACTAGGATTCTCCACTGGAGGAAACAGGAGGACCAGGAAACAAGCCATCTCTACTTTTAAAACCACACACATTTACACAGAACACAAGCTGCTCATCTAGCCCCACGGTTTGCAGAGAACACATTCTACCTCTGAATGGGACCTGTCTAAAATGACGTGACCACCGGGCCAGGGGCTTTATGTACCAATACAAGTGCTTTCTTAAAAGTTCCAACTGTTGTTCCTGCTCAGGTAAACTTTTTGGCTTAAAAAGGGGGAAAACCTATAGCTCCTCTCAACAGTGACTTCTTGCTCAACCTATCTGTCATAGTAACAATTAATACTCACTAAAGGAGAATAATCTAAGACTGGGGGAGGGAGAGAAAGGAAAAGAGACAAATACCAACCCACCTCCAATGAGATGCTTAAGTCCAAACCCATTCATCTCCCACTGGCCCATGTTTAAAGGTCACAGAGAGGTTAATGATGAGCGGAGGAATTTCAAGATGTAAATAGCCCACTGGAGAGGCTGTCTGCTTCGGCCCAACTGAGGGTGTGTTTGTAATACTTCACCCCATTTCAGAAGCAGCCAGGCCAGCTTCCACCCCCACCCCCCAGCCCTTCGGCTTGGAGGCTGGAATGAAGGGGCACCCGGGATGGACATACCTCCCCCAGGGTCGGAAGGACACACTTACCCAGTGGCTTGTACTCGTCACGAGGAGACAGCCGAGAGTAGGGGGGTGGTGGTGATTCTGGAAGACAGGAGACAGCATGTCACTGCCAGGGTGGGAAAGGTCACATTGGGATTCTTCTACAAGATTACTGATTATTGATTTCCTCCTATAATAAACCCAGCTCACAGGAAACCCTCCTTTTCTCCCATCACCTCTGCTGCCCAAATCCACTGGAAGATCATTGCTCAGCAGTAAGGCCCAGGCATAGGGTCCAGACCTGGGGTCAATCCCTGCTCTGCCACCTTTGGCTGTGCAACCTTGGGCAGGTTACTTCACTTCTCTGAGCTTGTTTCCTCAGCTCTAAAATGGTGACACTAGCCCTGGCCAGTGTGGCTCAGTTGGTTAGGCACGATCCTGTGCACCAAAAGGTTGCTGGTTCATTTCCCAGTCAGGCACATGCCCGGGTTGCAGGCTCGATCCCCCAGTAGGAGGCATGCAGGAGGCAGCCAATCAATGTTTCTCTCTCCCTCTACCTTCCTCTTTCTCTTAAAAAAAAAAAAATCAATAAGAAAACACTTCTTAAGAATAAAAATAAATAAAATGGTGACAATAATCATATGGACCTCCCAGGTTTGCCAGGTGGGTGAAAGAAGATAATGTATATAAAATGCTTAGTACAGCTCTTGGTACTGTGGAAAAACACCTCCACAAACACTTAACAGTTATTATTGTAATGAGAAACACAGGTGCAGGGGAAAGCCAGAGCCAGGGTTGTGTGATAAAATACCAGATGCTCAGGTAAATTTGAATTTTGGATTTCCGTGGCATAGCTTTTGGTATAAGTATGTCCCTCGCAATATTTGGGACATACTTATACTAAAAAGGTATGTGTTGTTTACCTGAAATTCAAACTTAACTGACAGTCTGTATTTTTATTTGCTAAATTTGGCAACTCTAATCAGAATTGAGTCTGAGTGCAGAGACTCAGACACAGAAGCTCATTTCCCAACAAGGTGCATCAGAAGTAGCATTCTTTAGGGCAAGGAGGAGGGCAATATTGGTTGGGACCCGAGAAGCCAAACCCACCTACCTAGATGTGAGACCTTAAACCAGTCCTTGCCAGCCCTCGGCCTCAGTGCCCTCACTCTGCAAAGGGGTGGGACACAAGCTCTCTACTGCCTTCCAGCTCAGACCCTGTGTGATTCCTTATTGTCTACGGTATTTTTCTTTTGGTTTCCTTTCATTTGCCTAAAATACTCCTCCTTAAAAACATATACTTTGTCTTCAGAAGAATTCCTTAGCCTCTTGCTTTAGGGGAAGTAACAATTTGCTAAACTAAGTAACAATTTGCATGAATGAAATGACCCTTCATTTTCCCTAAATGAAACTAAACACCATCAAATCGCAAACTAAAACAAACTCTCAGTGGTAGTAAAGTGGTAATAACTATTATTAGGCAGGTATCAGTAATGACACAAGGGGTAATAAGTGTTTTTCGTAATTATAATAAGGCACAATTAGCTGTAGGAGCATTTGTTTTGCTCCATACACCCTATGCAGCTTCAGCTCTTCCCCACCCTGGCTTTTCCAGCCAGAAATTATTTCAACAAAGTGAAGGCTCTGAGGTCTAGAAACAGGGCATCTTTTGTGGACAGTATTTAGGGAGAAGGAAAAGTGAATCATGGAGTAGCTACTGGGAGAGAAGCAAACATTTGCTGAAAGCCTACCCTGTGCCTCCATGCCAGGCATTTCCAATTTCATTTATTGTCTTTTATTCTCTTGGACCTTCGGTACAGAGTTGCTCATCGGGCACTGATTTTTATTTTATCCTTTCTCAGAGACAAAATGGTCAATATTCCCATTTTACAGAGGAGAAAACTGACTTGCCCAGTGTCCCCCAGCCAATCATGGTAAAACTAGGATTTGAGCCCAAGCTGACTCCGCTCTACACCCCAACGAGACAGGTAATCAAAAGGCACCCCATCTTCTTTCCCTTCACCCCAGCTAAGTCACATCATCCGCACAGAAAGTGCTCAGTAAGCATCTGTGGACTAAGACAACAGTTATGAGGACAATGGTAAAGTTGGGGGCATCAGTGGACAAAGGTGTGGATAAGGAGGACTTAAGGGCCAAAGTGTTCACAGGAGACCCCCACCAGGACTGAAGGAGGGAGTCATTTGCCTTCGGTAGGAGTCACCTCATCTACTGGTCCTCAGGACTTGGGAGGGGCTAGAGACCACACTTGAGTGAGAGCCAGCCTCTCAGGACAAGAGTCAAAACACAGGTAGGGCTAGAGTTCCCCAGGGAAGGAGACTTGAGGCTGGTGCTCCCACTGTACAGAAGACTGGGGCCTGGACAGTGGAAGTGACTCCCTCAGGGCCAGATAGGGAGCTGGTTGTAGAGCCAGAACCAGAAGCCAGGTCTACTGACCCCCTGGCCTCAGGCCCTTTCCATACTACCCCACTAACTTATCAGAAGGGCTGCAATTACTGTGTTAGGGTTCCTTTGGCAAAAATCTGAAAGGCTGAGGCCCAGGCCACACAAGGTGGGAGGCTCTGTACAGCTGCCCCCCAGAGATGTCCCCAAAGTGAAACTTAGCAGCAGTGGACAGTGGTGGGAGTCAAGCCACTGTCGGTCATCAACCTCAGTGTCTCTTACAGGAGCCACCTGGGCCTTGAATTGTGACACCCACCACCCATGGCCACACCTGAGGTGGCAGGGTTCTAACGACATGAATGGGACAGAAAGCATCTACAAACCTGAAATGTCAGACACACCAGTTAGCAGGGAACGTCAAAGCTCGGGAAAGACTTTCCCAGGCCCCCATTTGCACCAGCAAAGCAGTTTGCACAGAACTGAAACAACTGTGGGGACTGGAAGCTAATTACTCACTTACACACTAGGCAAGTGAAAAAGTATGAAGGCCTACAGACTTCACCCCCAGCAGGAGGAATTAGAATGTCAGAGGTTTGCCTTACTCAACTTCTTGGAGTTCACCCAACTCAACTTCTTTTAAAAGAAGGGGCAACTGAGATCCAGCAAGATAAAGGACCAGCCCAAGGCCACATAGAAAAGTAGAAGTTACTCTTTCAATTAAACAAAGGGGGAGGCTAGTTGGGAACCAGTATCAAGTTATCTTTTCTTGAAAAATTTAATTATCATTCACACACTCTTAAGACTCACTCTTTTGAAGTATACAAGTTAGTGGTTTTTAATATATTCAGAGTTGTGAGACCAACACCACTACCCAATTATAGAACATCTTCATCACCCCCAAACTCCAAATGCTAGGCAATCAAAATAATCTACTTCCTCTCCATTTCACACAACTGTACACATGTATGACCTTTGTGTCTTGGCTTCTTTCACTTAGCATTATGTGTTCAAGGTTCATTCATGTTGTAGCATATCATTCTTTTTTATGGCTGAATGGTATTCCATTGTATGACATTTCATTGGATATATCACATTTTGTTCATCCATTCATCAGCTAATGGACATTTGGGTTGTTTCCACTTTTGGGCTATTAGGAATAATGCTATGAACAATACTGGGTAACCTTTTCAAAAAATATATATATTTTTTAATTGATTTCAGAGAGGAAGGGAGAGAAACAGAAACAACACTGACGAGAGAGAATCATTGATCAGTTGCCTCCTGCACGCCCCCTACTGGGGATGGAGCCCAAAACCCTGGCATGTGCCCTGACTGGGAATCAAACTGTGACCTCCTGGTTCATAGGACTCAACCACTGAGCCACACTGGCCAGGCCTGGGTGACCTTTAACTGGCACCTCCACTTCCATATATCCAGGTCCCATGGGTCTGGGAGAATGGAGCTCCAGACATTCAATCAGGTGAGCAAGGTGGGCACTCAAGTCAGACACTTGATATGTAAAACAAAAGGTTGGATTAGAAAGGTGTGAGCTGCCCTCAGACTCTCTGTACCCGCCCTTCTTAGAAGCTTAGTGCTTGTAAAAGTTGTGTTCTTTAAAAATAGTAACTTTTAGCCCTAACTGGTTTGGCTCAGTGGATAGAGCGTCGGCCTGGGGACTGAAGGGTCCTGGGTTCGATTCCGGTCAAGGGCATGTACCTTGGTTTCGGGCACATCTCCAGTAGGGGGTGTGCAGGAGGCGGCTGGTCGATGTTTCTCTCTCATCGATGTTTCTAACTCTCTATCTCTCTCCCTTCCTCTCTGTAAAAATAAATAAAATATATATTTTTTTTAAAAATAGTAACTTTTAGAGTCCCGCAGACCCAAATGAAAGAAATGAACATGGAGGAGGGAGGGAGAGAATGGGAAAGAGAGAAAAGGAGAGGGAGAAGGAGAAAGAGAGGCAGAAAGATCAGAAGCTCCAGTCCCCTCAGACATCCAGCCTGGGGCATCAACTTCAGGAATCTCCTCCAACTTTCTTCAAAAGTGAGAGAGCAGTCAGCCAGGGGCAGCAAGTACCAGAAGACTAATGCTCAACTCAGCTCAGCCAGCCTGCCTCTGCTTAGTCCCCAGGGGATACCTGGCCTTTTGGGACCTATCTCATTCTAAAGCCGGAAGAGTTCACAGCCTCTCTCAGGGCTGGTAAAGTTTCCGTTTGGGGCACTACTTTCCACCCCCGATCCCTGCAGCTCAGCATCTTGCTTAGGAGGCTCCACTGACCTCCCTGGGCCTCCCAGCTCCACCTTACCAAGTGGTGGCTGATGGTGGGGAGGTAGCCTCTCAGGGCCTGTCCTCTCCTCCCCCAGAAGCCGTAGGCTCAACCCCAAGCCCCAGGGTGGGAGACACAAAAAGGGAGCTCCTGGCACTTTAAGGCCGGTGGAGCCTAATTGCCCAGATTCCCCCGGCAGCCAGATAAACAGCGCGGCCGGCTGGCGCCAGCAAGAGGCAAACTGCACATTATCACCCCTTCCTCACCTCCAAGGAGGAGCTCCAAGGAGCAGGGCGGGCAGGCCAGAGGGGTGGGGCGGGGGCTTGGAAGCCCAACTTGAAATTGATCTCATTTCAAAGGGATAATGCCAGGCCAAATAAAAGGAAAACTTTCTAGCCCATTCTAATTCCTATAGTCCTGGCCTGGGAACCCTGTGTTTTCCTAGGCGGCCTCCTACAGTCGTTTAGAAGTTCTCTCTCTCACTCTGTCTCTTTCCCTGGCGCAATTTGGATAATAGTAATTTACTGAATATAATTACAGAAAAAAAAAAGTGGTGAAGCAAAGAGCAGGAGATTTATTCCAAAGTTAATGGATACTTTCAGGAGAAAGGAGCTCTATAAACACAGGTTGGAACTGTGATTAAAGTATTTCTCCACATTTCCGTCCACATAGGCACCAAGCTCAGTGAACTGGCTTTTCCCTGGACAGAAAGACACACACAAGACACAAGAGGGAGGGAGTGCTAGGGATTGACTCCCACGGGGGATGGGGAAGCACCAGAGCTGGGCAGAGGGAACCAACTTTCTGAGACAAGCCATGAGGGAGAGGGCAGGGCAGGGGAGGTAGGCCAGTGTCACCTGAAATCTGCCCGTCAGACCTCAGGGCTTCTGTCTACCCTTACCACTTTACAGATGGGAAGACATCCAAAGAGGAGAACTGGCCCCAATGTGCCAAAGGAGGTTACAGATGGAACAGGGTTTGCTCTGAGCAGCAAGGGTCTGCACTGCCCAGAAAGGGACTTCCTGTCACTGAGGATCCCTGTTTGGATTAGAGGCACTGACGTGACCGGCACCAGGTGGGTGCCCCTCAGTTGGCCTGCTGGGTGTTCCAGTGTACTCTCTAGCTGTCTGTCTGTCTGCCCCAGTGCCCCAGCCCTCTCCCCCAGAGCCCTGGAAGGAGCAGTCTCCTTATCAGGACTCGCACGACTGAGCTCCAGCTATGCACCCGCCCAGCTCTGGGAGCCAGGCTGGCGGCCAACCGGTGGGGGTGGGGTGGGCAGCAAAGGGTTCCCCAGTTCTCAGTCCCAGTCTCCATGCCATTAGGCAGGGGAATGAAGCAACAGGGTCCACCTGGCATATCCTGGAAACTCGTCCAAGACCATCAGTCCTCCCCAAAGCCCCCAGGATGGCTTAAAAGGGGGGCCCCTTGGGTTGGGGAAGAGAAAGGAGAATAGACATGGCCCCTGCAATAGTGCCTCCTTCTGGGGACAGGAAGGGAGTCAAATCCCAGTGCTTACTCTAGAATTCGATGTGGAGACTATTCCTGGAGCCACCCCAACTGACCAGTAGGGACTAGCAGGGTAGGTTACTCATCCAAGGTCAAGTCCTGTTACTGGCCAAGCCGAGCCTAGGACCAAGTCTGTGGTTAAGCACCATCCCACTGCAGTTTGTCCCTCAACGTGTACCTGCCCAAGTCCACCAAACTCAGGTCAACACCCAAGATGACTGACTTCTCAGACAAGGAGTAGGGACAACCCACCAATCATCCTTGGTAAGGGTGGGTCCTACCTGTTGTCTCCAGCTTTTTCACAACCCCCCTTCCCACCCACACACTTGAGCTTGCCTGGCTGGCATCTTGACTCTCAGCTGCCCCTCTCCTCCCCAACGCCCACCTCCCCTTGCCCACTCTCTAAAGGCCTGCTCCAGGTTAGAGCAAAGGTGCTCCGGGAGGTGACCCTGTTACATACACACCCCATAGTGCTGATAGTTCACACTCCCTGACCTGGCCCTTCTCCCCCCATCTCCACCCCAACTCCCCTGGAAGACTGTAGTATTTCTTGAGGGCAGGGATCCTACTCCTATGTCCACTCTCTCTGCTACTGCATCCAGCACGGTGCCTGGCACAGAATAAGTGCTCAACAAATATTTGCTGGCAGACTGACATGGTGAGAGAGAAAATACCTGCCAGGACTTTCTAAAATAGCAGAGTGGGCCCCACCAATTATCTGCCACTAAACAATAACGACCATTGAGGGACGGGGTGGCCACAGATAGGGCCCCCTTCCCAGAGGCAGAGAGGAGAGAGGCTAGCAGAAGGGAGGAAGCCACTTCCAGGGGATGCTGTGAGAAAGAGGAACAAGGGGCACAGAAAGCCATGGGCCATAGGTCAGGGACAGTCGAAGCTCCTGAATCAGGCCTGGAATGACAACCCATGTGGGGAGCAGGGCAGCCAGGTCAATGCTGCCTTTCGCCACCAACCCCCTTCAGTGAACCACCACTGAGGCACCTTCCTTTCCCCTCCAGCCACTACCCCCAAGCACACGCATTTCACATTGGGAGTCGGGAGACCTGTGATCTGACCCTCTATGGACCCTCAGGCTGGGTGCTCACTCACTCCAGAGGGGCCAGACTGGAGAAACTCGGAGCCCTCCAACATCCAACAGCCTATGACTCTCTGATAGGCACACCCCTGCAGAGCCCCCAAAGTCACCTAAAATGCATACACCTCAAAGATGCTACAGGTTAAAACGTGTGTTCCTGCAAGCTTCTGGCCTGCTAAGAACCTCCACCTGTCCTCACCTCTGCTAAAGCACCCAGGGCATCCTCAGGTAAGCTGGGCTGGGGGTGGTATGTGTGTGCAGGAAGTCCCAGGGAGGGAACAAAGACAGGGAGCACTCCTCAGATGTAATAAAATACCTGGCTTCTTCACCTACTCATAAATGCCCCCAGGACCCTCAACTGGACACAGAATTGAGAATGATGATGATGGAGAGCCCTCACCTTTAACACCCAAGGGATGCTGGGAGCAATCAGGTCAAGAGGGTGGTATCCACCTTGAGAGGGGTTACCCTGAAAAAGCTTTGCTCCAAAGTATACATAGGAACAAGTGGGACAATTTACAAACACTTTGACTCAAGCCACGAATTGTCTACACCCAATTTCACAACACATACTTGCACTTGGTGGTAAGAAAGTACAGCTTAGGTATAGGCGTATGCACACAAATGCTGCAGCCTGAGCACAGACTGGGGGTAAATGAGGGGCCGCCTGGCAATCTTTGGCTTCTCCTAGGGCCTACCCTCTCCCATAAAGTTGGAGCCTGAAGCTACATAAAGAAAACTCCACCGTGACCCTTTTTAAGTTTGCTGGTGCCTTGATGAAGTTGCCATTTGATGTGTGTGCCCAGATCCCCTCCCAGGGTGAGGCGCCTCCACTGAAACTCCCACCACCCAGGGGCACCCACGGGAGCGGGAGCGGGAGCACCGCAGCTCTGCCCACCCGAGGTGTCCGATATAAAAAGGCCACGGAAGGGGACCGGAGGGGGACCCCGCGCCCAAGCCCGTCCGTCCCTCGCCCGGCGCAGCGCGCTCACCTGGCCCGCAG